CCCTCTTCCCCCTCTTCCCCCTCTTCCCCCTTTTCTTTCCTAAAAGCTGTGTTGTCTGCTAAGGGAACGGGACCTTCTCACCAGAGTTACCTTTATTCTTGATGACTGTGTGATACTTGCAAAAGGTGACTGCTTGTTCTCCTTTGTGGTTTTCTTATTTTTAGGTCATAAATTTCAATTTTAGCTTTCCACATTGCAGAAGATGCCTTACCTCTGCACAGTGGGGTCATGTTATACTCGGAAATGCCCAGTTAACGTGTGATATTGAGTCATTTTCATGCTTAAATACTCAGATAGTGACGTTGGTGCGGACTTCCCAGGAATACGTGTGGTCCTGGTGCATGGGTTCAGGTCCTTTGCCGTGCATCAGCAAGTGCAAACAGTGTGTCAGTGTGTCAGATACAGAACGCTGCTGGCAGTTGGACTGTCTCTTTTTTCTCAAGTAACACCTGACAGAATGAGAGGACAAGGTTTCAGATTGTGCCTCTTAGGTTCAATATAAGGGAAGGGTTTTTTTCACCAAAAAGGTTGTCAAGCCCTGGCACAGGCTGCCCAGGGAAATGATGGAGTCCCCGCCCCTGGGGGGCTCTAAAAGCTGGTGGCTGTGGTGCTTGAGGACACAGGTCAGTGGTGACCTGGCACTGCTGGGTCAGTGGGTTGGACTCGATGACCTTAAAGGACTTTTCCAACCTCAAGGATTCTGTGATACTGACACTACAGGGCTTGGTAAAAAGTCTCTCTCCATCTTTGGTATCACCCCCCTTTTAAGTACTAGAGGGCCACAGTAAGGTCTCCCTGGAGCCTTCTCTTCTCCAGGCTGAACAATCCCAGCTCCCTCAGCCTGTCTTCACACGAGAAGCGTTCCAGCCTTCAAACCGTTTTTGTGGCCCTCCTCTGGACCTGCTTTGGTGCTGAGGACCCCAAAGCTGGGCACAGAACTGCAGGGAGGTCTCAGCAGAGCGGAGCAGAATCCCCTCCCTCACGCTGCTTGGGATGCCGCCCTAGATGCAGTCGGCTCTCTGGGCTGCGAGCATACGTTGCCAGCTCGTGTCCAGCCGTTCATCGCCCAGCACCCCGAGTCCTTCTCTGCAGGGCTGCTCTCCAGCCCTTCACTCCCAACCTGTATTGAGACTGGGGCTTGCCCCAACCCAGGTGCAGGACCTTGCGCTTGACCTTGCTGGACTTCATGAGCATAAACAGCTGTTGTCGGCTGCTTTTGGGGCCAAGGATGCTTGACCTTGTGAGCATTTGTTTGGACTCCATATAGATGTTCTTAGTCCTGGACACAGCCAATTACTGGTCTCTTTCTTCTGGGTATCTGGTGATTACCTTTTCTTTTAATCCCTCTTTTGAGTGTGTTCTACTTCCACATGGTGGGTCTGAGCTGTGCTTAAGATGTCATAGTACACTGCTCCTCTGTCCTTTTTTCTCCCTAGGCTTATGGCATTGTATGGAAAGCAATCAATCGCAGGACAGGAGAAATAGTTGCCATTAAAAAGATTTTTGATGCTTTCAGGAACAGAACAGATGCTCAGGTGAGAAATCATTGTTCTAACATGTCCTGAAATATCCAGTGGGAGTTCAGAAATACTTTCAGGATTTATGTCTCTGAAAAATGTTTTTTATTGAGAATCACAGAATCATATCATATAAAGATTTGGGTTGGAAGAGACCTCAGAGAGCATCTGGTTCCAGCCCCCCTGCCCTGGCAGGGGCATCTCCCAACCGGGGGGCCAAGGCCTCCATCCAGCCTGGCCTTGGACACCTCCAGGGATGGAGCATCCACAGCCTCCCTGGGCAACCTGTGTCAGTGCCTCAGCACCCACAGAGGGAAGAACTTCTTCCTTGGATCGAGTCTAAACCCACGCCCTTCCAGCTTCCACCCATTACCCCTCAGCCTGTCCCTACAGGTCAAAAGTCCCTCCCCAGCCTTCTTGTAGCCCCTTCAGGTACTGCATAATTTGACAATTATGCATGTAATAATACAGCTGTATTGGGGTGAAAAGGAGCATTAAATGTCAAGCTTTGTATATCACGGCATCTACAAAGCGCTGTTCGATGTCCCAGAGGAAAAAGTGGCTCCGTCGGCTTGCACAAGTGGGTTCTTCTCTGTGGTGTTTTGCTGTGCTGGGTAAGCACAGAGAGCACACGTGTGACTCTCACGAGCAACTGAGATTTTCCTGGCCTGGCTGCCCTGTGAGGGTTTTGTCTGCATTGGGGATTAGAATGGATTTAACCCTCTCATTGCAAGTCCATCCTCTGTTCTGTCATTCTCTTGAGGTGATAAAAAACTTTTTTTGTTTATTTCTAGAGAACATTTCGAGAGATTATGCTCCTACAGGTAAAGTCTATTTTTTCCCCCTCCTCTCTGATTTTTAATTATCTCTGATGTCGTTCACATGTTTTCTTCCCATCCTTTTTTAAAATGCCATTATCTGTGTTACCAACTCAGTTTGTTTTCTGCACCAAATTGGCAAATAGTCTTTCCATGACTGGACAAAACCACCTGAATGAAGTGGGGAGTTGGTCTTATTTTGCCTTTGAGACATATCCTGTTCTTTCATCATTTTTAGCAGTATATCTACTCTAGGATCACCGTATTGACTTGGACTTTCTGTCACTTCTTATTCCTTTGTGGACAGAAAGAGTTTTTCTCGAATTTGAATCAGAGGTGGGGCTGGGGCGTGGAAGAGATTTGCATGCTAAAATTTATTTCCTCCATCATGGGGAAGCAACAGGACCACTTGAAATAATCAAACCAAAACTAGAAGTTCTGTATGGAATTATTTAAGACTGCTCGTTTTGCTGTAATTGACCACATGCTACACCTACTTACCTTATCAGTGGCAATGGCATTAACATTATTTGTCCTTTCTTCCACAGACTTACTATGTAGAAACATCATTGTTTGTGAATAGCTGGAGCGTTGTTATAGATTTTGGAAGGACACAAACAAGGCAGGGCTCATAGGAAGACATATTTCTTAAGACTGTCAAGTTTAAGTACGAAAGAGATGAGATTTTTTTTTTACTTTTTAATCATTCTTTAAGTCTGAAATAGAAGCTGCAGACTTCAGAGCTAAAAACATAAGAGAACAGTTGTGTGGAGGTTGCTTACCTGTAAGTTGGATAGTCTCTGAAAGTACCGCACTTCTGAAGCAGATGAGTGGAGGAGGAGCTGGGAGAAGAAAAAGGGTATTTCTCCTGAAGGAAAGAACAAGTTGTTTTGCGTTAATGTGCCGTTAAGCCCTTACTTTAATGACTTGGTGCTTAATAAGCCTAAAAAATTTGGTTTCCCTCTCCTGCTTTTGAAGGTATTTTATAGCTCTTTCCTGAGGTTTAGGACTGAGAGATGAGAAAGGGAAAGATGTAAGAAATACTCTTTCACTGATAACCGTATGTTTGTCTTAATTTGCTTGTCTGGGCCAATTCCTTGCTGTGCACAATGGCTGGGTTTAGCGTCCGGGTGTCTGATGGGCTGGATGGAGCTTGTTGTCGTTGAGAAGCGTGACGGGCAGTTGGTGGCTCTCTTCTGCGTGACACGTGGTTGTGCTGGTCACTGCGCTGCTTGCAGGTTTTGTGGTTATTGTTCAGTGGGGGTGTAGATCCATTCATGCGCTTTGAGCCACGTTTTACAATGTCACTTTTTGTAATTGCTTTAGGACACAAAGAAGAAAATAGTAAAAACATTGCTCTTTAAGCAAAGATAAGTAGGACTAGCTCTGACAGGAGTTTTTTCAAGGTTGAGGGGTTTTTTTGGCATAGACTGAAACTCTTTCATAACTTTCTGTTACCAGTTCCAGAGCAAGACAGTGTGAGACAAGAGGGTTTTCCTTCAATGTGAAGCAAGTTCTTAAACAGTACTTAAGTAACACTGACAAGGCTAACCTGCACCTCTCAGAAAACATTCCTTTGGAGTAAAAACTTTCTTTAGATTATTTGGATGGGTGTTCTGGATATTGTCCTCAGAATAAATGCAAGGATATTTGATGGCCTGGCTGTTCATTACCGCTTTGTCTGTGTATTATCATGGGTTGCTGCAGTTGAGTGTGTGGATTTTTCTAAATATTGTAGAATCACAGAATCATTGTACGTTATGATCAGTCCTTGTCTTGGCCTCAGAGTCTAGGAAGATGATGCTGTTGTAAGACTATACTGGAGATGGCTTAAAGTTCTGGGTTTTTATACTCTTTGTAACTGAATTTTTGATGGAAATAGAGTCTAAAGAGAAATAAAGACTTTAAAGAGTCTGGTCCAAAGAACAACAAATTCTTTTCTGTGTTTTAGATACAAGCATACATTTTATGGCGCAGCTGTTTATAATTTTGTACTCCGGGTAGTTTGTGGAAGTGTTGGCATGTTGTGAAGTGTTCGCCACGTCTCTAGCTGCACAGAGGTGTTAGCTCTAGGAAATAAAAGCTAAGGCTGAGGATGAAGCAGGTGATGTTGGCAGTTGCCAGTTTGCAGCTGTGAGGGGAGATTTCGCTCTGGTTTAAGAGACCTGTCTTTGTGAGCCGACCGTCTGATCTCCTGTCACGCTCGGTTCGGCCACTGCAGTCTGTCGAGTGTTTCAGCTGATCCTCAAACAGACCCTTTCTGGTTAGTTGGGTTTGTTAATTACGAATGTTGGTGGCAACTTTGTTGTATTTATGCTGACGCAGTAGTGATTTGCATTCAGCAGG